AACATGTTTCTGTACCAGAACATACTCAAGCACTGTACCTCCAGTTGAATGATGTATTTAACTTTTCTTGAGCATCACAAGGTATTTAACGTGTGGAATAGCTATGCTCTTGATATTTAATTTTCCGAAATGACGATTAAGTTATGCCTATGGACAAGAAACAAGAGACATTTTGATGTACGATAAAAGCTCACCATTGAGCATTTTGTGCTTAGAAGGGTTATAACTTGAACATTTTAACTGAAAACATAATAAAGAGAAGCATTGTATAATTATAGCATTTCACCTTACTGAACCAATAAAGCTTTTCCATGCTGATATTATGAAAGGACTTTATTCTGATTAGAATTTTCCGACTCCATTGTTTAACACGATATGTTTGTAAAACATGTATGCCCCCTTTTGGAAGCCAATTAGTCATGTGATCAGGTTATTATGCATGACTTTTGACCCACTGTGAACAAACAATTAGTAAGGGTTATCTAGTATCTACTGGTCATGACTAGTCACAAGGTAATAATTATTGTGACCCCATAGGTTGAATGCAGCAATTTAAGTTATTACAAATCTTACCAAATAATATATACACATAAATTTTATGAACAACGTAGGCCTCATTAATGACAGCCAAGTTGTTATATTACATAAGAAACCGTCATTAAGTTCAAGGTCAATATGACATTGACCCCTTTACCCCTTGACCCAATAATCAATAGGGGTCATCTACTGGTCATGACCAATCACCATACCAAGTTTGAAGTTCCTAGGCCTAAGCGTTCTTTAGTTAATGATCAGAAACCGTTTTAACCTACAAGGTCAATGTGACCTTGACCTTTGACCCCTTGGCCCCAAAATCAATAGGGGTCATCTGCTGGCCATGATCAATCATCATACCAAGTTTAAAGCTTCTATGCCTAAGCGTTCTTTACTTATTGATTGGAAACCGTTTTCACCTACAAGGTCAATGTCACCTTTGACCCCTTGACCCAAAAATTAATAGGGTTCATCTGCTGGTCATGACCAATCATCATACCAAGTTTGAAGTTTCTAGGCCTAAGCATTCTTAAGTTATTGATTGGAAACTGTTTTCACCTACAAGGTCATTGTGACCTTGCCCTTTGACCCCTTGACCCCAAAATCAATAGGGGTCATCTGCTGGTCATGACAAATCATCACACAAAGTTTGAAGTTTCTAGGCCAAAGCATTCTTTAGTTATTGATCGGAAACCTTTTTTACCAACAAGGTCAATGTGACCTTGACCTTTGACCCCTTGACCCCAAAATCAATAGGCGTCATCTGCTGGTCATGACCAATCACCATACCAAGTTTGAAGTTCCTAGGCCTAAGTTGTCTTTAGTTATTGATAGGAAACCGTCATTACTTACAAGGTCAATTTGACCTTGACCTTTGACCCCTTGACCCCAAAATCAATAGGGATCATCTGCTTGTCACGACCATACCAAGTTTGAAGTTCCTAGGCTTAAGTGTTCTTTAGTTATTGATCGGAAACCATTTGGTCTACGGACCGACAGACCAACTTCTTTAAAGTCGGGGCATAATAAGGGACATAAAGTGATTGCTGTATGAAAATAGAGACATTTAGCATCAACCAGTAATCAGTTCGGCCTAACTATATACATGTGCTCTATACTGGTGACATTGATCTATTCTCAATTCCTGAATTACTTATAACCTACCAAGAACAATTACAGAAATGTCAACTGTGTCTGAACCTATCACATTTGCCAATTTTATTTGATATTTTCCTGTGTCACTACGTTCTGCTTTTTGAATTTCCAATTTGGCCACACCATCATTAATGGATTTTGTTGCCTGTAATTGCAATATCTAAAATTAGTATCAATGTTATATTTACTTTTTAGCTTAAAGGCAATGTTACAATTTTTCAATGCTATATCAGATTCAAGTCTGCCTTACTTTTCTCTTTCAGTGTACTAAACTTATACTATATTGGCGTGGGATCTGTTCATTTGCAAATTCTTAGGATCTTAAAGCAAAAATTAATATTTTCAACTTTTCTCAAACTACATTGTAAGTTTAACATAGACAAGAATAAAAAGAAATTTTCTGAATTCTCAAATGCAAAATTTGTAACCTATACATAAAACACTTTAGTATGACCAAATTGATTTGCTAAGCTCTATACTGTTTGGTTAGACCTGGATACACAGAAGTCAGAACAATAGAGAGTACAAATTGTTTACTTGATGCAAAACAGAGACACCTTTTTCATTTCAAATGAATTTAATCAATTTTTACTTACTCTTTCAATATGTTTTCCATCTTTCAACCATGTCACATTTGGTGTAGGTGATCCTGATATACCAATGACCAGCTTCAATTGTTTACCAACCATTACATGGACTTCCTTGTTGTCAGGCAAATTTGTAAGATCCATCTTTGGGGCCTCTGTTTGGTAGAATACAATGTCATATTATATTGTAAATAATAGTTAAAAATAAAATTATATACTTTGAATAACAAATTTGATGTTAAAAGTCCTATCTAATTACTTAGAGATCCATTATGGTCCTGAAATCACTCACCTTGCTACAATTTGCATCAAGGATAGGATACTTTTAATAAATGTAGTATGCTCTTTGAAGTACTATATTAGCATACTTAACATGTTTCTGTACCAGAACATACTCAAGCACTGTACCTTCAGCTGAATGATTTATTTTACTTTGGTTGAGCACCACAAGGTATTTAACGTATAGAATAGCTATGCTCTTAATATTTAATTTTCCGAATGAAGATTAAGTTATGCCTATGGACAAAAAACAAGAGATATTTTGATGTACGATAAAGGCTCACCATTGAGCATTTTATGATTAGAAGGGTTATAACTTGAACATACTAACTGAAAACATAATATAGAGAAGCATTATATTATTATAGCATTTAACCTTACTGAACCAATACAGCTTTTTTCATGCTGATATTATGAAAAGACTTTATTCTGATTAGGATTTTCAGACTCCATTGTTAAATTAGGGACATAAAGTGATTGCTTCTTGAAAATAATGGCATTCAGCATCAGTCAGTAATCAGTTCGGCCATACTACATGCATACGATCTATACTGGTGACGTAGATATATTCTAAATTCATGAATAACTTATAACCTACCAAGAACAATGACAGAGATAACAGCTGTGTCCGAACCAATCTCATTTTCCACTTCAATTTGGTATTTTCCTGTGTCACTTTGTTCTGTTTTTGGAATTTTCAATTCAGCCACATGATCATCATTGGATTTTTCCGCCTGTAATTTCAATATCTAAAATTATTATCAATGTTAAACTTACTGTTTAGTTATAAGGCAATGTTACATTATTTCTATATAAATTGATGTGAATATTTTACTTAATGCTATACAAGATTCAACTCTTCCTATTTTTTCTCTTTTTGGGTTCTGAACTTATACCATATTGGCTTTCTATCTGTTCAATTGTGAATTTGTAGGATCTAAAAGCAAAATTGATATTTTCAGCATCTGTCAAACTACACCGGATGTATAACCTAGTTAAGAATAACAAGATTGCATTTGAGAAAAATGCTATGCCACCGCAATAATACAACACTAAATAGTAGTGTAGGGACGGATTTTTTTGTTTCTATACAATTTTGAAGATTGTCATAATGCATAGATCCCTGACCTATCTAATTCTTTATATCAGATTAGTGGTTAATCTGTTGTTAACTCAATAAAAGATCAGAGTAGGAATATATTAATGCACTCGAGTCTAGTGAATTAGGTGGTGAAGGTCATATTTCACACAGCCTAAATTTCATGACTACATCAAATGCAACACAGTAAGACACTTTGTAAAAATCTACGTCAGCTGAAATCAAAGTTCACTTTACATCCTAATCTGTGCACATGGTTCAAATTCCATAGCTGTACATCAAAGGACAAGAAAGTAAGTCACATCATCAAAATCTAGGTCACCTGATATCAAAGTTCAATTTTACAACTAAAACTGTGCACATGGTCAAAATTGTCCCCTTGGGCAAGGCAAAATTTTGGACCCAAGGATTTAATTCAAAACAATCTTGATACAGTCCACCAAACAACATTTCAAGTCAAATATCTAAGTTGTAGCTTTCTCCCATTCAGAAAACATTTGTTTTATTTTCTGTTTTTACTATGTGTACATAATGAGAATCACTGCCCCGGGGCAGGGCCAATTTTGACACCAGGGGAAAAATTTGAACAAGTTTGGTAGAGCACCTATAGATGATATTATATAGCTAACATCAAAGCTCTATGCCTTGTACCTTCAGACAAAAATATTTTTTCTATTTTTTACTATATGTACATAATGAAAATCAATGACCCCTTGGGCGGGATCAATTTTGACCCCAGGGCTATAATTTGAACAATCTTTGTAAAGGTTCACTTCACAAAGTATCATGCCATATATTTAACCTCTAGTCTTTGTCAATTCAGAGAAGAAGATTTTTCAATTCAGAGAAGAAGATTTTTCAAGTTTTTACTTTATACATATAAGGAAAACTATCGCCTCTGGGGAAGGGCAATTTTAACACTAGGGGAATAATTAAAACAACTTTAGTTGAGGACCTATAGATGATATTATATACCAAATATCAAAGCTCTAAGCCTTGTACCTTCAGACAAGCAGATTTTTTAAATTTTTACTATATGTACATAGTGAAAATCAATGACCCCTGGGGGTGGGGCCAGGCCAATTTTGACCCCAGGGCTCTAATCTTGCTAGAGGTTCACTACATTATGTTTCATGAAAAATATCTTAACTCTAGCCTTTGTAAATTTAGAGAAGATGATTTTTTTGAGTTTTTACAAAATACATATAAGGAAAACCTATGGCCCTCGGGGCTGGGCTAATTTTGACACTAGAGGCAAAATTTGAACAACTTTGGTAGAGTACCTATAGATGATATCATTTAACGAATATTAAAGCTCTAGGCCTTGTTCCTTCAGACAGTAAGATTTTTTTGATTTTTTACTATATGTATATAAAATTATTGAAAATTAATGACCCCCGGGGCGGGGGCAATTTTCACCCCAGGGCTATAATTTGAACAATCTTGCTAGAAGTTCACTTCACAATGTTTCATGCAAAATATCTAACCTCTAGCATTTGTCAATTGCTAGAAGAATGTTTTTAAAGTTTTTACTATATACATATAAGGAAAGCCACTGACCCCCGGGGCGGGGCCGATTTTGACCCCAGGGCTATAATTTGAACAATATGGGTAGAGGTCTACCAGACAATGCCTTATGCAAAATATCTAAGTTCTAGGCCGTTTTGGTCTTTACAAGAAGGATTTTAAATTTTACTATATGTACATATAGTGAAAATCAATGACCCCCGGGACAGGGCCGATTTTGACCCCAGGGCTATATTTTGAATAATCTTGGTAGATGTCTACCAGACAATGCCTTATGCAAAATATCTAAGCTTTAGGCTTTAGGGTCTTTACAGGAAGGTATTTTATGTTTACTATATTTATATATAGTGAAAATCAATGTCCCCCGGGGCGGGGCCGATTTTGACCCCATGGCTTAATTTGAACAATCATGATAGAGGTCTACCAGACAATGCCTTATGCAAAATATCTAAGCTCTAGGCCTTTTGGATCTTCACAAGAAGGATTTTAAGTTTTTACTATATGTACATATAGTGAAAATCAATGACCCCCGGGACAGGGCCGATTTTGACCCCAGGGCTATAATTTGAACAATCTTGGTAGAGGACTACCAGACAATGCCTTATGCAAAATATCTAAGCTCGAGGCCTTTTGGATCTTTACAAGAAGATTTTTTTAATTTATTCTTATAATTCCTTTTGGTTGCCATGGAAACTAGATTTCTGCTTGGAATGAAATTTTTTGAACAACTATGGAACCCCTTCACCCAAGGATCAATCCTGCCAAGTTTGGTTGAAATTGGACTAGTGGTTTTTCACAAGAAGATTTTTTAAGTTCACTATATAATCTATATTACAAACACACACACAAACAAACAAACACACACACATACATACACACAGGTGAATCGCTATATGCCACCGCATCGCAGATGCTGCGGTGGCATAAAAAGAAATATTCTGAATTCTCAAAACAAAATTTGTAACTTATCATACAACACTTGAGTACGACCAAATTGATTTGCTAAGCTCTATACTGTTTGAATAGAGAGCACTAGTTGACTACAGAGACACCTCTTCCAATTAAATTAAATTTAATCATTTTTACTTACTCTCTCAATACGTTTACCATCTTTCAACCATGTCACAGTTGGTGTAGGTGATCCTGATATACCAATGACAAGCTTCAATTGTTTGCCAACCATCACATGGACTTCCTTGTTGTCAGGCAAATTTGTAAGATCCATCTTTGGAGCCTCTGTTTGGTATGATAAAATTTATCATGATTGTGAGTAATAGTTAAAAATAAAATTATATTATACACTTTGAATTACATATTAAAATAACTAATTTGATATTAAAGTCCTATCTAAATAACCTAGAGATCTATTATGGTCCTGAAATCACTCACCTTGCTACAATTCTCATCAAGAATAGGATACTTTTAATAAATGTATTATGCACTTTGAAGTACTGTATTACATACTTAACATGTTTCTGTACCAGAACATACTCAAGCACTGTACCTCCAGTTGAATGATTTATTTTACTTTGGTTGAGCACCACAAGGTATTTAACATGTGGAATAGCTATGCTCTTGATATTTAATTTTCCGAAAAGAAAATTGAGTTATCCCTATTTACAAAAAACAACAGATATTTTGTAAAACATACTAACTGAAAACATAATATAGAGCAGCATTATATGAATTATAGCATTTCACCTTTCTGAACCAATTAAGCTTTTTTTCATGCTGATACAGTCCAACCCCGTTTATTTAAAGTGCCTGAGACTGAAAATTTACTTCGAATAATCGATAGGTTCGAATAATCGACATCGGAAAATTGTGAAAGACGAAAACTAATCCACTTTGACCAATACAACAATTACTTCCTGCAATCAATTGAGGAAAATAAATATTAAAGAAAAGATGCGTAAAAAGTATTTTTTTGGCATTGAAAACATAAATACTTGCATTTTATTCTACCATATGTATCGTTTCGTTTTATGCATAGCCTTGATAATGGTCGTGTTTTCACTACGGTATTTACAGCTAAACTCTGGGGCTTTTTTTATTTGGGTAAAGGCTCTCATGTAGCGTTGCAATTAATGAAAAAAAAATGTTTTGGATGTTTTGGCAAATTCACATATACGGTTTGTATGAAAATTATTGCGGTCATCTTCAAGCATTTAAAGTAACAACATCGGGCACGGTGCAAAGCTTTTCATTTTCGGTAATTAAAGTAGATTAAAGAATACACAAAGCGTAATTACCATAATTGTATGGTTATATAAATACACTAATGACTGTTTGACTTTTTTACAAGTCGACCGCTCAGCGATCTACGCCAATAAGTCTGGCTTCGAATGATAATTAGTCTGGCTTTGAATAATAGGTGTGAAATTCCTTCATAATTGAATAATCGTGACCGAATTTTTACTGCGAAAAATGGGAGGTATTTGGATAATGCATTTCGAATAATACGCTTGTATCTATATTGATTTATATAAAGATTAAAACGGGACCGCCGATCTACTTCGAATAATGCCGGGTATTCGAATGAAGGGTTGTCGAATAACCGGGGTCGGACTGTATTATGAAAGGACTTTATTCTGATTAGACTCCATTGTTAAATTAGGGACATAAAGTGATTACTGCTTGAAAATAATGCCATTTAGCATCAGCAAGTAATCAATTCGGCCTTACTACATACATGCGACCTAATACTGGTGACGTAATATTTCTAAATTTCATAATAACTTAAAACCTACCAAGAACAATGACAGAGATAACAGCTGTGTCTGAACCAATCTCATTTTCCACTTTAATTTGGTATTTTCCTGTGTCACTTTGTTCTGTTTTTGGAATTTTCAATTCAGCCACATGATCATCATTGGATATTTGCGCCTGTAATTTCACTATCTAAAATTATTATCAATGTTATATTTACTCTTTAGTTTAAAGGCAATGTTTCAATTTTTCAATGCTATGTAAGATTCAAGTCTGCCTTACTTTTCTCTTTTTGTTTACTAAACTTATACTATATTGGCGTAGGATCTGTTCATTTACAAATTCTTAGGATCTAAAAGCAAAATTGATATTTTCAGCTTTTGTCAAACTACATTGTAAGTTTAACATAGATGAGAATAATAAGAATATTTTTGAATTCTCAAAACAAAATTTGTATCCTATACATAAAACACTTGAGTATGGCCAAATTGATTTGCTCAGCTCTATACTGTTTGAATAGACCTAGATACACAAAAGACAGAACAATAGAGAGTACAGATTATATACTAGATGCAAAACATAGACATCTCTTCCATTTCAAATGAACTTGAACTATTTTTACTTACTCTTTCAATTCGTTTACCATCTTTCCACCATGTCACAATTGGTGTAGGTGATCCTGATATACCAATGACCAGCTTCAATTGTTTACCAACCATCACACGGACTTCCTTGTTGTCAGGCAAATTTGTATGATCAATCTTCGGGGCCTCTGTTAAGTAGAATGCAATGTAAGATGATTGTAAATGATAGTTTAGAATAAAATAATATTCTTTGAACTACATATTCATGTTGTCTTGTTATTGCGAACATTTGTGCCAAGTATTTTCAAAATCCCTTAATGGATGAGAAAATATTAACTGGAAACAAAATATACCCTATAACAGATCATATTAAGCTTTGACCTCAACATGTGACTTTGACCTTTGAGGTAGCGGTCTGGGTGTTGCGCATAACACATGCACATTACACAGATCATTTTTATATTTGACTTCTAAGTATAACCTTGACTTGGATATGGGCGCCTGGATTTTGCGCATGACACATCGTCTTATTTTTAAAATGGAAAAGGGAAAAGGATAAAAAATTTTTTACCAATGCATTACCCTTTAAAAAAACAATGGACCTTTTATAAAAAATTCCCCCCCCCTGGGCCCCCCCCCCCCCCCCCCCTTTTCCCCTTTTTTTTTTTTTCCCCCCCCCCCCCTTTCCCCCCCCCCCCCCCCCCCCGCCCCCCCCCCCCCCCCCCCCCCCCCCTTTTTTTTTTTTTTTTCCCCCAAAAAAAAAAAACCCCCCCCCCCTTTTTTCCCCCCCCCCCCCCTCTCAAAAAACCCCCCTTTCTATTTCAAGGGCTTAAAAAACCCTTTTTTTTAAAACAAAATTTTAAAATGAAAATTTAAAAAAAAATAAATTAACAAGGAAACATTTTTGAAGGAATTTTCACAAGTAAAATTTTTTAAATTTTTTTAAAACCCAAAACAACTTTAAAAAAAAAAAAAAAATGACCAAACCTTTTCTAAAAAATACCTTTGGCAAAACAAAAAATAAATTCCCAAATCCTTTTTTTAAGTAAAAGGGGCATCTAAAAACGACCCAAAACCCTAATGTCCCCGTATTTCCGGGGGCCATTAAAAACCATTTTATTTAACAAAATTAGAAATCCCTAAATTTTTACAAAAAAAATCTACTTTTCCTTTTTTTTTAGTTAAAACAATCACAGGGCACCCGTTTCCCCCAAGGGGTTTTTTTTTCAAACAATCTTTTAACAAAAAAAAAAATTTTCCAAACAAAAATTTAAAACCCAGATTTTGGATTTTAAAAGAAGAATTTTTAAAAGGGTTCAATAAAGGAAAAAAATTTCCCCCGGAGGGCCCTAGGCCCCCGGGTTTTTTTTCCCCCAGCCCAAAAAAATTTTTCAGTTAAAAAGGGTTTAAAATGAAAAACAAGTAAAAAGGAAGGAATAGGCTCAAAGAAAATGTACCAATCTGTTTTCCTATTACACAAGTACCTCTATGTTTGTACGGAAAAACAGACACACAGAACCTATTTCTATATCCCCCTTTTTTCTTTGAAAAGGGTAGGGAACAATACAGTAACATGTAACCTTTGATACAAAAACCTTTGTAGTTATGTTGCCTTGATGATCTATTTCTTGAGGTTTTTATGACAAAATATGAAGACAACCAATTCATTAATGACAAAGTTATTCATGTAAATGCAAAATTCTAACAAAATCAAAATAAATCTAATCTTGAAGGTCAAATTCATTTATCAGTTAAGGTCAATTTCAGCGAAGTCACATTAAAGGTCTTGTCAAAAGGTTTTTTTCTAAGCCTAGAGGCAATCTGTTCAAAAATAATAAATTATGACCAACACAAATATTTCTGGACGGCTACCGTATTGGCAAATGCAACAGCAATGACAATGTCAACTACAATCCAAAGGGTTGTTCTTCCAAGTAAGAGGGCAGTCTAATAAACAAGAGGGCCATGATGGCCCTGAAGTCGCTCACCTGTATATAGGCCCCCCGGAGCGGGGCCAGTTTAAATCCCAGGGCTTTTATTTGAACAAACTTGGTAGACATCCATTAGAAGATGTTTCATGCTAAACATATAAGGTCTAGCTTGTCAAGTCTTTTCTTTACACATATAGTTAAAAACAATGACACACCTGGGGCAGGGCCAGTTTTGACCCAAGGGCTTTTATTTCAACAATCTTTGTAGACACTTACAAGAAAATGTTCCATGCTTAATATCTAAACTCTAGCTATTTTGGTTATTTCAAAGAAGATTTTTAAGTTTAATTGGCTATACACATATAAGGAAAATCAATGTCTCCCGGGGCAGGGCCTATTTTGACCCCAGGGCTTTTATTTGAACAAACTTTGTAGACACTCACTAGAAGATGCTTCATGCTTAATATCTAAACTCTAGCTATTCAGTTTTTTTCAAAGAAGATTTTTAAGTTTTTGCTATACACATATAAGGAAAATCAATGTCCCCCGGGGCGGGGCCAATTTTGACCCCAGGGCTTTTATTTGAACAAACTTTGTAGACACTCACTAGAAGATGCTTCGTGCTTAATATCTGAACTCTAGCTATTTGAGTTTTTTCAAAGAAGATTTTTTAAGTTTTTGTTATACACATATAAGGAAAATGAATGACCCCCGGGGCGGGGCCAATTTTGACCCCAGGGCTTTTATTTGAACAAACTTGGTAGACACTCACTAGAAGATGTTTCATGCTTAGTATCTAAACTCTAGCTATTTGGTTTTTTTCAAAGAAGATTTTTTAAGTTTTTGTTATACATATATAAGGAAAATCAAGGACACCCGGGGCGGGGCCAAGATTTGACCACAGGGCTTTTATTTGAACAAACTTGGTAAACATCCATTAGAACATGTTTCATGCTAAATATCTTAGCTCTAGCTCTTTGGGTTCTTTAAAAGAAGATTTTTTTTAAATTTTTTTACTATATGCATATCGGGCAAAATCAATGACCCCCTGGGGCGGAGCCAATTTTGATCCCAGGGCTTTTTTTAACAAACTTGGTAGACACTCATTAGAAGATGTTTCATACCAAATATCTAAGCTCTAGCTCTTAGGGTTTTTTAAAAGAAGATATTTAAAGTTTTTTCTTTCGGTTGCCATGGCAACCAGAGTTCTGAATGGAATTCAATTCTTTGAACAATTTTTAAAGGTGACCACCAAAGGAACATTCCTGTGAAGTTTGGATGAAATTGGCTTAGTGGTTTATGAGGAGATGTCATTTAAAGTAAAAGTTTACGGATGGACGGACGGACGGACGACGGACGGACGCCGGACGAAAAGCGATCACAAAACCTCTCGTTGTCACTTTGTGACAGGTGAGCTAAAAATTAAAAATTTTGACAAACATAAAAGGTTCAGACAGCAACGAAAACCCTATCGGCAAAGGAAACAACAACGGTAACGTCAAAGTGATATGACTGTAGCAAAAGCTCCAACATGTCAAAATGTCAAGCTGAAAAAGATTATAAAGAATGACATACCTTTAAAACATGGCAAATTACACGGCCAACAGAATACATATTTCACAGCTGAAACTATAAAAGAATTTTTAAATCAATTTAACATCAATTTTTAGTATTTGTATTTGTCCTTCAAACTATTGATCATACTAATTTCAATATAAAACAAGGTAAATTTGTACAAAAATGAAAAGCCATCACATAGTATCCTTAAACAAATGTTGTCTTTTGTTTGCTTGTAAACAACAGATCTTTGTAGTTAAAAGTGAAAAATTTAGCATCTTTTCAATGGTAGGCCAATTACTCACAAACAGTATCATAAACAAAGCCATGGGTTCTTTTGTGTAAACCAGGTCAAACAGTGACTATTCATTATCTGAGCATGTAACAGCTAGTTGATTTGTATTACACTGTAATCACTGGAAATGTCCATTACAGTTGTATTTTGTTTCATTCGCGGACTTCGAAATTTAGCAGTTTTACGTAGTGACATTTGTTCAGCGAAACCTTGTAAGTGCTTATATTTCTACACTAGTCTTGTCTAATATTTTTTTCATAAAAAGTAGTTATATTTCGGGCATCAGTAGAACCATGTATAACTAGATGCTTTGGTGTTTTTTTAATAAAGTGTTCCTTTTCATAGGACATAGGTTCCCCCACATTTAACTGTTTTGTCAATCTACTGACTCTTGGCCAAATAATTTTGGGCTACATGTGACACAAGTTGCAAAAACACCAGGTGCACAGCTTCCCAGTGATGTTAATCAACATTCCTGTAAAGTTGGTTGATTCTGACTCATGCACTCCATGGACACATAACACAACATTTTGGTATGCTTTTTACTAAGTCAAGTGCAATTACTCTACAAATACGGAATAAATACACAACCAAAACCCCTGGTGCACAACTACACATGCTGACCATCATTCCTATAAAGTTTAATGACTCTAGGTCATATTCTTTTTGAGATATGTGCAAAACAAATTCAACATTTGAATTTTTTCCTAAGTCATGGGCAATAACTCACACAACGCAGAATCAATCTACAAGCAAAACACGATTTTCAACATTTCTGTAATGTTTCATGGCTATAAGTCAAACATTATTTGACCAACGCGTGACACAAGATGGAAATTGTTAATTGATTCTAAGTCAAGGGCAATAACTCTACAAATACCAAATAAATTCATAAGCGAACCCCAGGTGCGCAACTACACATGCTCACCAACATATGACTCTAGGTCAAATACTTTTTGAGCTACAAACGACAAAAATTGAAAATTGCAATTTTTTCTAAGTCAAGCGCCATTACTCTGACAAAACACATTAAGTCCACAAGCGAAATATTAGGTGCACAACTTCTCATCCTAAGCAACATTCCTTTAAAGTTTATGACACTAGGCCAAACACTTTTTTGGTTAAGTGCGACACAAGTTGAAAATTGCAACTCTCGAATTATGACTAAAACCACACGCAAACACCCAGGTGCACAACTACACATGCTGACCAATATTCCTATAAAGTTTCGTGACTCTACGTCAAATACTTTTGAGCTACGTGCAACACAAAAGAGAACGGGCGGACATATAATAGATACACAAGGGTAAATCTCAATGCCCCCTATAGTTGGGTCACAATTATTGAAAGTCTAACTGGAAAATTACCAGATATGCACAACTAAAAATGTACTCATCATTTTTGTTAAGTTTGGATGAAATTCTACCAGATTTTGAGGAGTAGACCGGAAAGGTTTTGTAATAGACAGATAGACGGTAAAGAAGAGATTCAACTCCTTTGGTTCTACAAAACCAAAGAAAAAATTCTAATTTGTGCTTATTGTTTTACTTCATAAATCGACGTTGATTTCTAAAACAAAATTACTTAATTCAGCGAATACAAGATGAAAAGTTACCCTGTAGGATCGGATCCGTCACATCAGGTGATGACATCAAAGGTTCTAAATGTCCAAAAATAAAATTATCTTACATAGTATTAATAACATTTTGCTTTACAACGCTTTTGCAAACTAAAAAAAACCATGTTAAAAATCCTGCATAAGTTATCTTCAATGTGAAGTTAAACTGCGTATTTTCTATTTGCCTAATGATAAATCTTGAAAAAAATAAATTTGTATTTGTTAAAAACTTTTCCAAAAAAATAATATAATTATAAAATTCAGCTATAAGGTTTCTAAAACCTGAATAATTGTTCACCATCTCTGCATTTGCATACACTCATGAAATTATATGTTTTAATCTCTCAAGACAACAGATTTTATGCAAAATATATATATTACAAATATATCTTGACATTACCTTGCTGCAACTGCACATTCGATTGGCTACTTGAGTTTCCTTCTGAAAATACAAAATTTATGGAAGAAATTATTTAACATTCTGAAAATAAGGTATTTAAAGTCTGTTTCCTTTCTTTCAGAGTCATCGTCAATTTTATGAAAGCGACCATAATTTTGCAGAACGATTTTTGTTACTTTTGCATAAAATACAAAAAAAAGGAAATGTTACATACCAAAAATTTAAGCTCTTTGTAGTTTTTAAGATAAAATGGTTTCATGTTAGTATTTTGTTTCACAAATTCAAAAGCTTGTAATAATTTTGTCATGTTTTAAATGTAATCGTAAGAGAAAATTACACTCAAGCAATAAAATATAAGTCAACACATCTTTACAATATCATACAACTATTTACAAATATTTTTTTCATATTACCTCGTCGGAACTTCGCCTGGTATTTTCTTCTTGTGTTTCCTTCTGAATATGCAAAACATAAAGTAAGTAAGGTTCTAGTAATGAAATCTGTTTTCAAAACTACATAATACTAGAGCTATTACTAAATGTGATTCATACCCCCGCAATACTGCTTCGGAAATGAATAAGTTACTAGTAACAGAATACCTTGTAAAAGAATTGAAATAGAGTTATGGTTGTGGGTAATTAAAGATAGTTGTGGTTCCTGAACGTTGAATTTCCTTTCATTGTGGTTGGCCATTGATGAAGTTTTATTGAATTACTCTGTAATAAGTCCAGATAGAGTTACGGTTCTTGAGCACTGCACATTCTCTTATTTGCGCTTAACCCTTGTATGTAGTTGCATTGAATTCCAACCATTAATTTTCCAAGTTATGCACGGGACAATAAAAAGTTAAAAAGGGCTATAACTCTTAAATGAGTCAAGAAAGAGTTATGGTTCCTATGCATTGCGCTTCCTCTCAATATACTTGACCATTGCACAAACTTGTATTGAATTCCAACCAGTACATTTCATGTTATGTTCTGCGACAAGGAGAAGTAACAAAGTGCAAACACTCTATAATTACTCTGGATACAGTTAATAATAACGCTTCTTGTGCACTGCACTTCCTCTTTTTGTGCTTTGACATTGTATGAAGTTGTTTGGATATCCAACCAGCACTTTCAAGTTATGCTCCGTTGGTTTGACCACTGACTGTCAGTCCAGAGTTTCCGGGTTCGATCCTGGGTAACACTGGTATGATACACAGGTTTACTGGTATGAAACCCAGGTAATCCTCGCATGTATCAGTGCTATACACTGGGCTTGTAAAAGAAGCAAGGGATCTATTCAATAAGAGCTTGAACTGGTGCCCGGATTCCCTTGTATCTCATAGCTGTCTCTAGTGTCTGCTGAGGAACCTACTGGAAATAAGTGCTTGCACTTCCATAGGCTATCCTTGCCCCCCTACGGTCTAAAGGAAATCAATCAATCAATCGATATATAAATTTGTAACAACTTTTCCTGATGCTAAGAATCGTAATACTGTATACAACTTTTCCTAATGCTAAGAATCGTAATAGTGTACAACTATTTATATAATTCTTATTTTAACAAGAGCCATGTCAACATGGCCATTCCCCGCCGAATGTGTTTGCTCATTGGAAGAATGTATATGTAGTAGAGCAGAATAATTCCATTTTAAGAGGTCTTTTGGTAATGAAAACTGATGGCAAAAGTGATTACAGATTTGAAACCTATGTGAATACTGATGGCTGAAAATAACAAAGGGAAATAACTGAAAAATAATGCAGGATAGGTTATCATTCTTGTGTGCTGCATCCCTCCTCAGTAAAATCTATCCTCAAATACTTTTTGAGAAAAGAATTGAATTGAAAAATTAACTATGAAAAATAACAAAGGGCAATAACTCAAAAATTATGAAAGGTAGAGTTATCATTCTTGTGCACTGCATACCTCCTGAGTGAGATCTATGCACCTATGAAGTTTCATAATGATATCTCAAAGGCTTTTTGAGTTATGTTTTGGACAAAAATTAATTTTGAAAAATTAAAAAGGGCAATAACTAAACAATTATGCAGGGTAGAGTTATCGTTCTTGTGCACTGCACTCTTCCTCAATGAGAATCATCCACCTATGAAGTTTCAAGTTGATACCTCAAATACTTTTTGAGATAAGCTCCGGACAAAATAGTATGAAAAAGAACAAAGGGCAATAACTCAAAAATTGTACAGGGAAGAGTTATCATTCTTGTGCACAGCATTCCTCCTCAATAAAATCTATCCACCTATGACATTTCGTGTTGACATCTCAAACACTTTTGAGTTATGCTCCACTCGGGTGAAAAATTAGGTATGAAAAATAACAAAGGGCAATAACTCAAAATTTATGAAAGGTAGAGTTATCGTTCTTGTGCACTGCACACCTCCTGAGTGAGATCTATGCACCTATGAAGTTTCATGTTGATATCTTAAAGGCTTTTTGAGTTATGCTCTGGACAAAAATTAATTTTGAAAAATAACAAAGGGCAATAACTCAAAAATAATGCAGGGTAGAGTTATCATTTTTGTGCAATGCACTCCTTCGCAATGAGATCCATCCACCTAGGAAGTTTCAAGTTGATACCTCAAATACTTTTTGAGATAAGCTCTGGACAAAATAGCATGAAAAAGAACAAAGGGCAATAACTCAAAAATTGTATAGGGAAGAGTTCTTGCGCACAACATTCCTCCTCAATAAGATCTATCCAACTATGACATTTGATGTTGATATCTCAAAAACATTTTGCTCCACTCAGGTGAAAAATTAAGTATGAAAAATAACAAAGGGCAATAACTCAAAAATTATGAAAGGTAGAGTTATCATTCTTGTGCACTGCACTCCTCCTCAATGAGGTCTATCCACCTATGAAGTTTCAAGTTGATAACTCAAATACTTTTAGAGATATGCTCCGCACAAAAATGTCGGACGGAAGGACGGACGGAAGGACGGAAGGTCGGACGGACGGAGACTATTTCTATATCCCCCGCCGCCTTTTCGGCGGGGGATAATAACTTTATACCAATATCATGGCCATATCCATCTTATGTTCTTGTTCCTTTAACATAATTAATTTCATTACATTTTTATTGTTTATTTTGTAAACAGTGAAACAAACTTACTAAAACCACATGTTCTTTTTACATTTATGTAATAGCAGCAGCAACCTATTGCAAGGTAGATAACAACAATGGGAAAACAAACTGAAATAACAAAGATAACAAATTATTATAACACAAAATTATTTGATGCTATTTAACAATATCACCTGTAGAAAAGTGGTCTATTAATTATTTGTCTGAATATCATAACAAAAGGGACATAATGTCCCTTGATAACTCACCTCAGATATTAGCTAGAAATGGTAACAATTTAAGTAATGGGGTCATATTGGATTTGTCCTATTTACAACAGCATCACCACAAGTTACATGGACATGCAGGTAGGCAACAAATTCTTGCGGCTCTTGAAGGAGAATATTGGATACGTTGAGGAACTAGCATGATAGTAAAACACATCATTAAGCAATGTCAAGATTTAGAGTAAAACTGGTCAATCTGCTTCTATTTCTATACAAAGATGAAACAGTTTCGCTCTAAGACCTAGAATTGTCTAGTATATCAGAAGAATAATAGCTCACTAAGTAACCAACAGATGACACCACTGTTGGAGCAGCAAATCAAAACTGATAAGCCCCTGTTTTCCTTTGCAGGAATATATATCATATCTGGCTTTTTCTGAAGATTAATGTTGCATGCAAAATTTTTACATACGAAGGAAGTTGACATATAGAAGTCATTATTCATGACAGAATTATGAGCCATCTTAACTGACCTTTTATTATGATCTCAATATAGTGTGCTATTAGTTACAAGCAATTATTTTCAATTGTTAAACTGAGAAATAATGTTGAACAAGAAGTTGCACGTAAAGCTGTTTGCCAAAGAGATAAGCCAATGCAAAAATAGATAAATAAAAAGCTTGATGAGCTGATAAATAAAGAAATACTAGAAAATTAGAATCCCTAAGTCAAAACTGCAAAAACTGTAAACCTATTTGTAGCAACAATTTTCTTAATCCATTTTACATCAGTGTCAAAAAACAATTAGGATCTTATCTTTAATAACAAGGGCCATGACATGACATGCGTTGCCTCATGATAGCCAATTACATGTTGTAGCTATTGTGTATCATGAGACACAAAAATCATTATCAGGGCAAAACAAGTTTTTTTATTCAAGGGCAGTAACTTGGCTAATAATCATTCAACTAGAAAATCCATGTTATATGCACAGGTACTTGAGCAACCTAAAAATCCTGTAAAGTTTCATTGAAATTTCATTAGTTGTATGAGAAAGGTAGTCCGAATAAATTTTAAAAATTAAAATTATAAAAGGACCATTACTCTAAAAAAGTCAATAAATTGAAAAAATGTTAATGAGATGCACAACTTGACAAATTATTTATCATTCCTGTAAAGTTTTGCTCAATAATTGCTAGGAGCTTGTCGTAACAAGTAGCTGGCAACACAAAACAAGAGGGCAAAGATGGAACTAGATCGTTCACCAGCCCAATCAAACTTATCAGAGCAATTACTTAGGTAAGCATCCTGACCAAGTTGGATGACATTTGAGTCAAAATTGTGACAAAATATTTTATTATTTCAACTCATATTTATTATAAAATTCAAAAATAACTTTAAATACAATACAATTAAGTGTACCATCTCCATAACATTTTATTATTTCAACTCATATTTATTATAAAATTCAAAAAATACATCATAATAATATACTTTAAATACATTACCAAAAACAGCTGCAATTACAATGCCTACTTCCTTCCCACTAGAAACGCCAGCATCTTCTTCTGTAAAAATATTTTCATTATGAAGCTTAATGTTTTTAATTTTGAACAGCATCACCCTTGATGATCATTCTTATTTACATATTAACTTTCAGAAAAATATGTGAAGTATTTTTCTTAGAGTTGTCATTTAAAATATTGTTTTATACAACTTACAAGTTACACACTTTGTTCACTGGATGACTGCAAAACATTTATGATTACCCAAGGCCCTAAAATCTTATAAAGGTCAATCAGACAATACTTTCTGACAAATATCTAAGCAATAAGACACTTCTTTTCTATTTCAGTTACATAAGAGTGCCTTCTCTTAGGATTTTAGCAAGAATTCAACATTTTTTTAAAAGTGAGCTTCCAGTATCAGTCAATTTAATAAGTGAAAAGCATACCATACTTGACTTTTTTATTTATAATGTCAAACACATGAAGAATTTTGAAGTAAATAGGAAATTGTGATTTTCTTGTCCAAAATTTAATTAAAGTGTCACCTTGACAGTCAAAATATGGCCAAGGTAAAACTGAATAAAGTCAAACCTTCATGAGGCTTTGTTGTCGTTCTTGTTGGTGGTGAACTTGTGTTGTTGGTACCTTCGTGTGTTGTTGGGATAAGTGAGCTTCTATCAGAAATTGTTGTCTCGTTATCAAATGTTGTGCTGAAAACATTATGCATTTATGTCAACATCTTAATAATCACAATAATCAAGCAACTTTCATCTTTAATATATATTTTGCATATCAATAAGCTATTAATTACAATTTCATTTCTTTATTATCATAATCTTTTTTGATTAGAAATGAAAGAAATATTAACTGCTAAAATATAACTAAAATATTCTTTTGTTGTTTTTTTTCTAATGGATTTTATGAATCATTGACCTTAGTTAAATACTGTATGAATTATTAAACTATCATCCATTTTTACCTTTATTTGTATTAATTAAGGAGAATAACAGTTGTTTGAAATAAATCTAATCACCTGAAGACAACGGCTTAAAATGTCAGCATTTGAATTTTTATGATGGTACAGGTTAAGTTCTTAAGAACAAGGGCCATCAGTGATGACATGTGTTGCCCTATGATAGCCAATCGCAAGTTGTAGCTACTGTGTAGCAGGAGACCCAAAAATCATTAACAGGGCAAAAAAATGTTTACTCAAAGGCAATAACTCAGGTGAAAATCACGCAAGCAAACAACTTGTTTATTTATAATGCAAAATTACTTGACCTACCAGTCAATTTTGTAAAGTAATTTCATTGCAATTGCATTAAAGGTATGAGAGGAGAGGTCCAAACACAATTTTCATTCAAGGGCCATAACTGGGTAACTGTGTATTTTGCCAAAGTACTTCACTGCAAAGTTTCATTGAAATTGCATCAGCGGTATAAGAGGAGTAGTCTTGACATACTTTAAAAAATAAAAATATTTTAAGGGCCATAACTCCAACAAAATTAATTGAACTATTCAAAGCGGATGATATGTTCAACTAGACTTGCTGCAGATCATTCCTGTAAAGTTTGCACCAGTAGTTTTTGAGAAGTAGTCCAGACAAGCTTTTGTGTATCTGGCAACCCACAAAAAAGCACCTTTTTATTAAAGGGCGATAACTCAACCAACAAGAGCACCGCTAGGTGGAACATAATATGCCCGAAAGTTGTTTTTTTAGTAAGGACGAATCATTTGTAAGACATGAGAATTAAATAAAGTATTACCTCCTTCAAATAGCAATCCTCCTATGAAGTTTGAATATTGTGGGTCAAATCGAACTTAAGTTATGCTCCGGACACTGATTCAGTTTTAAGGTTATAGTGACCTTGAACTTTGACCTTGTGATCCTAAAATCAATAGGGGTGTTCTCCCCAATACGGACAATCATCCTATGAAGATTGAACACTGTTGGCCAAATGGAATTTAAGTTATGCTCCGGAAACTGTTTTTTCAGTTTAAAAGTAAAAGTGACCTTGACCTTTGACCTTGTAACCCCAAAATCAATAGGGGTCTTCTACCCAATATGGACAATCATACTATGAAGTTAGAACACTGTTGGCCAATTGGAACTTAAGTTATGCTCCGGAAACTGTTTTCAGTTTAAAGGTAATAGTGACCTTGACCTTTGACCTTGTGATCCTAATATCAATAGGGGTGTTCTCCCCAATACGGACAATCATCCTATGAAGTTTGAACAATGTTGGCCAAATGGAACTTAAATTATGCTCCGGAAACTGTTTTCAGTTTTAAAGTAATAATGACCTTGACCTTTGACCTTGTGTCCCCAAAATCGATAGGGGTCTTCTACCCAATATGGACAATCATACTATGAAGTTTGAACACTGTGGGCCAAATTGAACTTAAGTTATGCGAACGGACCGATGGACAGACGGACGGACGCCAGGGGGTGTAACATAATATGCCCAAAATTCCTTCAGGCATATAAAAATCATTGGACCGGAAAACTCATGCAATATGCGCAAGGACTTAAGTAAAAAATCAATCCTGTAAAGTAGTCCGGGCAAACTTTAAAAAAGTATTTTAAGGTCCATAACTCCCACAAAATTCATTGAACCATAAAAAGCTGGCCAATAATATGCACAACTAGACTTGGTACTGATCATTCCTGCTAAGTTTAGATGATATTGCACCAGTTGTTTATGAGGAGTTAAAACCTGGACAAGTTTTGTGACGGACGGACAGAGGGACAAACAGTAAAACATTCAGACAGACGACCGAGAAGTGATCCCAATTTGTTGCCACAACACCATAGAGGCGACAAAAAAATGATAATCGCTTGATTAACTGATATCAGACATGTATATAAGATAATATAAGCTGTCAAAAAAGTACCACAACTGTAACAAGCATGCAATTTTACAGTTTTTTCATTTCCATAGCAGCCATTAAAATATTGTGATAATTCTCAAAAGTTTCAGGTGAGTTAAAAATAAGCTATAGCTTGTACATGTATGTTATTTCAAAGATTTGTACAGAACATTATTAAACAGCATGCATTTCAAATGTTAAATTAATTAAAAAGTGTCTTTCCCATCACTCGATTCATCTTCACATGCAAAGAATAAAACCATGGATACTGTTAGGCTTTTATGTGTTAGTTGCAAAAAAATTAAAACTAAAATTAATTCATTACTTTAGGAACATGTTTACAAGAGCTTCCATCATTGCTTTTGAAGTTGTAAAAATCAATTTATTATCTAGCCTTTTGATAGTACAATTTCAGACTAGTAGACTTATTGGTTCATTGAAGTGAATTGGTCATAAAGGAGTGTATGTTATATCATATCATATCATACATGATTATATTATATCATATCATACATGATTATGTTGATAGCGTTACCAGACAATAAATTGTTCTGGACTTTTTTTTTTAATATTATTAATAAAGGTTCATATTAAAACACTCAAATTCTGATACATTTTGTTTGCTCGAGAAATATTTTGAATAACACATTTTTCTTGTTTTTATCAATATTTGACCAATCAATCGACTTTTAGTATGGCATTTTATATAAGTTAATAGCACCATTCTAAATCATTATGTAAGCATATCCCAATTAAGCCAAACAGTGTGCTTGGTTTTATTTTCATGAGCCTGGTTATCAAAGGTATTCCCACAGAGAAAATTTCATTCAAAATCCATGACAGATGTAATGGGTCTGCATGAACAGTCATTTACATTAAGGATCCAAAATACATAATTAACTTCAGTTGCTGTGGATATTTATTTTGCAAAGATAACTTAAACCTGGGCTTTTAAGAGTTAATAAATAGATTTTATTTAATAATAATCTACATTGACATATTAAATAAAGTAATAATGAATCTTGGACAGTGATTATAAGAAGTGAAACTGCAAGTAAAACTTTCAAAAGATGTTAATATGTAAAGTTATGTAAACCTTGATGAAAAAACCCTTTTAAAATGTGTGATAGCCTCACTTTTCTTCAAATGAATGACAACATTCAATAATTTGGTATTTCCATCACTTTCAAACAACGTTTTTGGAATTTACCAACACCATGCAATTTTTAAATTTTTATGTTTCATTCATCACATTGTTCATTATAAATTATTTGGTCAATCACAAAATTTAATCTATAGATAAATAGTACTAATTAAGCTAAAATTGACAGTAAAACAAAAATGAGCATAATGTCATTTAACTCTTTGAAGTAAAGAAACAGTGTGTATGCACAATATACAATGGTTATCATAACCAGTCACCACATTAAGAAACACTTTTTACAACAAATAAAATAATCACATGCAAGGTTTTAACTAACTGATGCCTCTTAAAATGTATTTGGATGTCTACAGAAAAATATACAAAATAAAATAAGGCATCTGAACCCATAAACAATTTTCTACCTAATGAATAGTAATGAAGTATAGTATTTCTAAAGTCTCAAGCCATCATTATACTCAATATTACTAATTCCACGTCATCACTAATTTCAATGTAAGTGACCAGTTTAAAAATTGATCAGAATTGTGATACTTTTTTTCATACACCAAAACAACAAAGATTCTCTAGATTTCTTGTGTCATTCAGCAGAAAATAACTATTCATATATGTTACGGCTTATGGCAATTTTGAACCATACGTTTCCTCTGTTATTCTCTTTCTTCTTTCAAAGCATTTAAAGTAACGTAAACTTAAAGAGGACCACAGTTTACTAGTTACCTCAACTTGCTGACAAAAACAAAATTCCCAAAAACCTTTTACAGGAAATATGAAAAGAGCCACTGCCAGGCAGGGTCAATGCTTGACTTTTTAACCTTTTTCTAAAAACAAACAAATAAACAGTTTAAACAATTTCTTTATTTTTAGTTTTCATAGGTCTGTCTAAACTTTTTAGACGATCTTGTCCAAAACGTTGCTTTGTCCAAGTATGAAGATAAACCATTAATTACAAAGTTACAGCCAATTACAGCAAAAGTCAGTGAAAATTCAATAAATTAACCTTCAAGGTCATGGTCATGAAATTTGCGTGTGATATCCATCAAGGTCTTATCCTAAAGAATCTTGTGTCTAAGAAATAAATCCATTCCGTAATTACAGAATTATAGCCATTTATAGCAAAACGAATAAATTTCAATAATTTGACCTTCAAGGTCAAGGTCATTTATGAGTTAATGTCAAATTCTGTCTGGTAAACTATAAGGTCTATTCTTAAACATTGTTTTGTTCAAGTTTGAAGACAATCCATTTAAAACTAACAAATATATAGCCAATAATAGCCAATAATAGCAAAAATCAGCAAAAATCAGGCAAAATTTAGACATCTGACCTTGAAGGTCAATGTCATTTATGAATGAAGGTCAAGTTACATCTGCTCTTCTTTAAAGATCTTGTCCTAAAAGTTGTTGTAGCCGAGTATGAAGACAATACACCAAGAACTTAAAAAGTTATGATAAGTTTTGCAGATGGCAACGGGAAAGCCACCCGTTACCTCCATTTTTTTCTTCAAACAAAATCAAGCTAGAAATTAAAATTAAAAAAAGAGCTGTAAACAGTGTCATTCTCACTAATCATTTTGCATAACAAAGCCTTTTTATTTCAGTCATGCAGTCCAATGTTTTATGTGACATTTACTTCATAAACTTTAACCTTCAGACCAAACAAAAGCAACATAAAAGACAAAGAATGAAAGATAACAGTCATGCATAAATAAATGTTACAATAAAAAAACAAAAGGCATATATAACTACTGTATATTCCAATAATAGCACCCTTATGTAATTGTTTTATGGAAAAAAAACATCTTAGCCCTCATGTTTGTCAACCATATTACAACACACAGATAGATAGAGCTTAAACAGTGTGAATAATTTGTGCAGTTCAGTCTGCATATATGCTGCCTGGTTCATTTCCAGAAAGAGCCAGATAACGTTTTAAGTTGGTGCAGACTGGATTTGATGAAGACCCATTTTCAAGTCTCTATTTCAAGCAGTTTGAGTAACTAAAGTAACTAGTTTGTATAACAGTAAGATCAAAATATATTTCACGAAGTAAGCTTTAAAAAAAATATGAGAAAAGTTGCCATGAGCCAAAATGCTAGTGTTCACTAGTCAAATGACTCTTGACTCTTTGTTATTCATTACATACTATTACATTGATTTGTGTGTTTTCTCTGATATTTGCTGCAAAGCATTTACGCGAACTTCTTTATTGACATCATCTTATAATGACATCATAAAGTTCACGATGAAAATGTCCCAAATTTTGTTACAATTTCACAAGGAATTAGCAAATGTTTATTTCCCTCTCCCAGTCACCATATATATTTAAACATTAAAGCAGCACGCCTTCAGATTCCTGCTAATGTTCATGAAAATTTTGAAAATGTATTCAAAAGTAAAATATTGTTAAGATGACAGAGAAAATAATATGCACATTTCAAACGGCACTTACAACCAATGTAAATTAAAAAAAGAGGTCAAAATATGCAAAATTAACCCTTACTGCGTTAGTAACGCAGTAGAAATATAGTGAAAATTACTGAAAAATTGGCCATCAATCACAAATAACATGGAAATTATTACTTTTATCTTTAGTCTTTTTACTTTTCATAAAACCTCAATAAATTTTTCTCAAGTTTTATTTTCTTGAAATATTTTGGCTCATCTAGAGGCATGCAGCTTTAAGTATATATCTCGCAACATTTCTGGCAAAATTTCCATTCAGTTCTACAATTAAAGATCCTGTATGTTATAATTGAGGATTTTACCACACTTGAGTGAAATTTTATATATGTATATAATTAGGCTTACAAAACAATTTTCAAACATCAAAGAATATGTAAAATATGCACTGCAAATATTTGTGCACATTACAATTATGTACTCATAAAAATATATGCATTCATTTCTTGTTGAACAATTTGACTTAGACTTTAACGAAAATAAATTTCCAATTACCTCCCTTTATTTACATGAAATGTTAAATTCAGTAATATCTTTATAAATAATGCTTTTTGGAACTTACAATATTGATAAATCTTAATTTAAGCATTATAAAACCATAAAAAATTGCGATACAAGATCTTTAATTGTATATACCTTTCAAATATAGTTCATCAGTAAGATAAAAAAAAAATTTAGATTGTGAAGTATATAATTAACAAAAAAATATTATGACAAAATAAGCTAAAATTCTAAAAACTTCAAATAATATATTTACACCAAAACTAGTTACCTATTTATTTAAATGGGTGCAATTAAAAGGAACATTCAGTAAAGCACTTACCATGGTTTTCACTTCGTTCTTTGAAATATTATTATGTTCAAATTAATTTTTGTAATAAGTATGTTATGTGTAACAACAGGGCAATGATGGCCATATATTGCTCACCTGACCCTCAATGCCAAGGAAAATTTAATATTTGTTAAGTATACAAGACATTCAGGCATATGATTAAGATATATTTAGTCACTTAACATGTTTTAATATTGGTACCTACATAAATTATGATATTCAAAACAAAGGCAAAATATTATAGCCCTATTCTCTTCCCTTTGATATGTGCATGTTATAGTGCTTAAAGTTGTGTCTAATTTCATTTATTGCTAATAATAATGTAAATCAAAACTTCACTGCAAATAATTAATGAAAATAAGCATTACAGAGCAAATTAAAATGGTTACCCTGAAAATAAATGAAAGTTTACTATGTATCTTAACTCACTGCGCGGATATTACAGCTAGTTATCTTGTATCTATTAGTACACATATTATGTACCTATAAAGAAATTGTTCTGGAATAGGCAACCTCATAATAACGAGATATGTTGTAAAACATATGGACTTCCCAACACCAGCAGCCATTAGTCATGTGTTGAGTAATTGGTTGGAAACCGTTTTATTATACACAGTAAATGTGACCTTGTTCTTTTAGCCTATGATGCAAAGAAATCAAAATGGATCATGAAGTGCCCAAGACCAATGAATATGTCTATGTAGTTGCCAGGACCAATGCACCTGTGAAATCTGAGGGTGTAGGGTCCATTAGAAGGTCAGAAAATCATTATTACATATGATCTAAACATTTGAACCTGCACCCTCAAAATCATTACTCATGTATTAGCCAAGACCAATGCACCTGTCAAGTCTGAGGGCAACGGGCCAATGGGTTGTTATTGGTGGGAGACCATTTTAACATGCAAGGTAAATGTGACCTTGACCTTTGGCACTTTGCTTCAAAAATAATAGGGGTATTCTACTGGCCAAGACCAATGCATATGTAAAGTTTATGGGTCAAGGGTACATAGATAGTTGAGTTATTGGTTGGAAATCATTTTACATACAAAGTGAATGTGACCTTGACCTAAGACCCCTTGACCAAAAAATAAATAGCGATCAACTTCTTGCCAAGACTAATGACACTTTGAAGTTCAAGGGCCAATTGCCCATGAGTTTTCAAGTTATAAGTGGGAAACCATTTTGATATAAGAGGTCCATATGGACTTGAACTTTAACACTCTGACCCCAAAATCAGTAGGAGTCATATTCTTGCAAAGACCAATGCACCTGTGATGTTTGAGGGCAAAGGACCCAGCCTCATCTGGTCATTGGTTGAAACTGGTAATGTGACCTTCATCTTTAACCACTTGACAGCAAAATCAATATGGGTCATCTACTTGCAAAGACCAATGCACCTACAAAGGAACCATGAGTTGTCAAGTTATTCATCGCAAACCATTTCGACATATAAAAGTCAATGTGACCTTGACCTTTGACCTTTGTGATACCAAAGACAACCAAGTTCCTAGCCCTACTAAGGCATACATAAATTATTGATTGAAAACAGATTGGTCTATATACCAACCGACAAATTGACATATGCAAAGGAATAAACTATTACTACTTTGAAGGGTGAATAACTTATCTAAGGTCCCTTAAAATTTAACAAAAGCTGGGCACACATTTAACAGGTATGAGCTACAAAATAAGAAAATTACCATACATAAGTTTATTGATTAAGCAACTCGCAAAATATCAGATTTCATATAGTGGCCATTAGAAATTCAATGAAGTGTATAAATTAAATACAAATGTATTGCATAATTATGTTTTTTCTTGTATTTTTCTGCTCATATTGCATGGCATCTCAACAGTGTCTTCCAAATTTCATAACATATGAATCTTTATCAAATAATCTTATGTATTTTAAACAATCCAAAAAGTACACTATTTCACAACTTTTTTGAGTAAAATGAAAAACATAATTACTTGTTCACTTGTACAGGTTCACAGTTTTTAGATTGTGGGGTTTTAAACTCGAAACCCTCATTGCATCCTTGCTGACAAACATATTTCCCTGAAATAAAAGGATCATCTTTATGAATATTGACGATTATTATATAATCTATCAATAGCTTTGATATGCATTTCTCAGATGGGGTAACAAGAAGTATACTTTTGTGAAAAATAACAGGTCAATATCAGAGTACATGTATATACACTGTTTTTTCTTTTACATATATTCACTGTTTAATTAAATATGTTCACTGATTTTTTCTACACTAAAATAGATTTCCTGGAAAGCCCACAAAAGACGCATGCTATGATGTGATATCACGACAAGTTTGTTGTTTTTTCCGAGAAAACATTGGGCAACTCACAAATAAAAGTCAAACTAGTCTTTTTTAGTTATTGTCTATACATTTTTAATAATATTTCACATTAAAATGTCAGAGACAAATAATGGAAAAAGGAGACAAGCTGAAAAATGCCGATTTCTCAGATATGATATCCCATATAAAAACGATTAACATATTATATTACAAAACAGATATGCACTTTTTAGCTGGTGAATATGATGTGATATGTACTGAAAATTAATATTGACCGCGGCTTTATGAACTTTATAAGACAAGATTTTCCATATTTTCACTAGTGCCTTGCCGGAAAACTTACTTCTTAGGGGAAGTCTTTCATTTTGTTATGTCAAAAAAAAATGTATATAACAAGCAATTATCATAGTATTGCAAGCAATCCATAAGTCCCCTACCAGTTAGAACCCAGCAACATTCTGATGGGCCATTTGCCATTCAATTTTACCAGTGAATGAATGACATAAATAAACTTAAATATTTTGAGTTCTAAGTTTGTCTATATCATAGTAAAGTTGCCCTGCCTAGTAAGGAAATTATGTTTATACAACAGATAATCAAAAGGTCCAATTTTTCTCAGGATGAATAAGTATAACTAATGTTTCAACTTTTCTCTATTTTAAATAAATTTGTTGGAAAAAAACTTTATAAGTGACCTCAGGAAACAGTTTTTATGAACAGACAGAAAGACTGAAGGTGACTTTTAAGTTTTTTTTATAAACATCCCTATTACCAAAATATAACATATTTTAATACAAAATTCTTAAAAAGGAGATAACTCTTGAAATAACGATGTAAGATTTATGTACATTGATGTGAGTTTTACTTTAAATTTAAAGATACCATTTATAGTCACAAAGAAGATAAGTAAAAAATATAACATTAACTATAATGTATAGTAAGTAACAAAGATGAAAATTAAAAACAAAAATATAATGTAGGTGTTGATAATGAATGTTTATTTTGAATTTGATGTTTGTTTGTTTGTTTGTTTGTTTGTTTCATTTTACGCCTTTTCCCAACAGTATTTCAGTCATATAGGCGGGTAGTTTCCTAACCATCGTTCCTGGAGAGTTACACCAGTACTAGACTACCTTCCTCCGCGCTAAACTACCAAAGCATCTCCCGGGGATCGAACCCACGCCAGAGAGGTAACTGGATTAGAAGTCATTGACTCTAACCCCTCGACCACGGAGGCGGTTTTTTGAATTTGAAGAAAATCCATGAAGAAATAAGACAGTTAAAGAATGAATAAGAAAAATTCAAAGTTAAAGGAGAAAATAACTCTGGAAATATGGATCTAGATTTATAAACCTTGTCATATTATTATGATGTGGGATTTTAAAGTAAATCCTATAAGGAATGAAGAAGTTGGAGTAAAAAATACCAATTTCTCAAAAAAAACCTAAGTTCTAGGGGGATATAAATCTAGAAATAGTCTTGCTAGAGTATTTAACCTTCTCACAAATGTTGAGTGATAATAAGTAACATATATACGAAGTTTGAAGTAGATACATTAAGAAATAAAAAAGTTATTTAAAAAAAGACAACATTTTTTTCATAAAAATTCTAAGTTCAAGGGAGGTAATTCTGATAATTTTGTGCTAGAGTTGTAAACCTTGTCACATATGATGTGGTTGATGACCAGAAACTTATATTTAAAGTTTGAAGTAAACACCTTAAGAAATAAAGAACTTATAGTGAAAAAGCGTAAAAATTCGAATCAGAAATCTTGAAATTCAGTCTATTTGTTGCCATAGCAACCAATATTTTCAACATAGGAAGCAAAGAAAAAGATGTGCATAAATTCCAGACTGTCATCTACCAATATTTCAAGTTTCATAAAAATATTGTCAGTACTTTTTAAGTTATCACTGGATCCAGTTTATGTGTAAAATTTACCATATTTCCAGTCTATTTGTTGCCAAAGCAACCAGAATTTTCAACATAGGAAGAAAAGAAAAAGACGTGCATGATCTCCATACTGCCATTTATCCATATATCAAGTTTTATAAAAATATTTTCAGTACTTGTTGCGTTATCGCGGGATTCAGTTTTGCGGACGGACGGACTGACGGGCAGAGGGTTAACCTAACGTACCTTCTGGTTAAACCGGTAGGGGACTAATAAACAGAAAAATCAAGTTTTTTTAATAAATACAGGATTTATTTTCACCTTGTGGTATAAAAAAATCATACTTCAGTGGACTTGTCTGTTTATTACATAAAAGAAACAAAATGCATGTTTGCTCTTATGTCAGTTAATGTGTTATGATTGACTGTTTAAAACAAAAACATTCAATACTCTGAGGCCCACATGGAAGATCGGGGAACCCAATTTGCTAGATTCAATATATAAAGTCCTTCTTTCCTCCTTTCTTCCGACTTGAACTTGACTTGACCATGACTTGAACTTGCCTTACTTACTTTACTTACATAGGGCTATAATTTAGAGAAGATTTCAATGATAGATACGCATTTTAAGACAGTAGCGGTCGATATTGTTGGTCCAATCGAACCTATGTATGATAGAAAGAACAGATATATTTTGACTATGCTGGATTATGCCACTAGATATCCGGAAGCAATTGCATTGCCTAGTATAGAGACTGAAAGAGTAGCAGTAGCCTTAGTTGATATGTATAGTAGATTAGGTGTGCCTGAGGAAATGCTTACAGACTGTGGATCACAGTTTACTTCACAGGTTATGAATGAGGTTAGTCGATTGCTGTCAATTAGACAGAAAACAACTACACCGTACCAGTCTATGTGCAATGGTTTAGTTGAGAAATTTAATGGTAGCTTGAAACAAATGTTACAAAGAATGTGTAGTGAAAGACCAAAAGATTGGGATAAGTATTTAAATGTTTTGTTGTTTGCTTATAGATAGGTTCCACAAGAGAGTTTAGGATTTTCACCTTTTGAGTTGTTATATGGTCGAACAATAAGAGATCCGATGACAGTGTTAAAAGAGTTATGGTCTGGCAAGACAGAGAATGGTGAAGTTAAGACTACTTATCAGTATGTAGTTGATTTACAGGAGAGATTAGAAAATACTTGTAAATTAGCATAGCAGAAGTAGAAGAAGAGTACTGTTAGGTATAGAAAGTACTATAATAGGAAAGCAAAAGATAGAACTTTTAAGAAGGGTAGTAAAGTACTGGTTCTTATACCTACAAAACGCAACAAGTTGTTTTTATAGCGGAAAGGTCCGTTTAAAGTTTCCGAGGTTGTCAATAAGTTAGACTATCGGATAGATATAGGGAACAATAAGTTCAAAACTTTCCATGCAAATATGCTAAAGCAGTATGTTGAGAGAACCAATGAACCAAACAGAGGTGCATTAGCAAAGGTAAGTGCTGCTATTGTTGAAGACGAGAATGGATATGATAGATTAGAGACAGATGATGATAGTTTAGAAACTAATGGTAAAGATGATAGTGACATTATGTTATGTCCGTTGAAGAAAGGTTCAGAAACCCATAAAGATGTAGAGGTCAATCCTGACTTACAAACAAATTGTCAGACTCGGATTGAAACCTTGTTAGATACATTCTCAGATGTTTTGACAGATTTACCTGGTGATACTCATTTGATTCAGCATGACATTAAGTTGACCACTTCAGAACCGGTAAGGCCAAAAGGGTATCTTATTCCTTTTTATTCACAACAAATTGTTAAGGATGAAGTAGAAAAGATGCCAGAGTTGGGAGTTATCGAACCTTCTACTGCTCCGTTTTCTAGTCCAATTGTCCTTATTAGGATGAAAGATGAAAGCATCATGGTTTGTATAGATTTTCGGCAGTTGAACAAATGTACTGTATTTGATGCTGAACCTACGCCAAACATGGAAGAGATGTTTTCGAAAATTTCGAAACACAAGTATTTTTCGAAAATTGACCTCAGTAAAGGTTACTGGCAAGTTCCTTTGTCTGATAGTGCTAAACTTTTGACCGCATTTGAAACCCCTAGAGGTCTTTTTCAGTTCCGGAAAATGCCATTTGGTCTAGTTAACGCACCTGCGACTTTCTGTAGAATGATGAGAAAGGTTTTGAAAGATCTAGACTATTCGGATAGTTTCATTAATGATATATTGGTCTATACAGTTACTTGGTCAGGGCATATCAATGCACTATATGAATTATTTACTCGGTTGAGAGAGTCTGGGCTTACCGCTAGATCGTCCAAGTGTTTCATTTGTTTTGAAAAGCTTGAATGTTTAGGGCACATGATTGGAAGTAAAAAATCCATTGAACCTGTCCCTAGTAAGGTCAAGGCAATACAAGAGGCCGAACGACCCACGACTAAGAAGGGGGTTCGTCAGTTGTCAGGGGTTGTTTCATGGTATAGGAAATTTATCCCAAATTTTGACGCCACTGCTGTTCCATTGACCGATTTGACGAAAAAGTTTCAATCAAATCATGTTGAGTTGGGAGAAAGTCAAGAAAGGACTTTTCAAACTTTTAAGGCCAGTTTGACAAGTCCGCCCATTTTAAAATTGCGAGATTTAGAAAGTGTTTTCATTCTAAGAGTGGTTGCATCCAGTACTGGATTAGGATCAGTTTTACTAGGAGAAATTTCCAGTAGCTTATGCTAGTAGAAAATAATTACCAAGAGAACAAAGGTACTCTGTAATAGAAAAGGAATGTTTGGGAATCGTATGGTCTATATCTAAATTCCACAGGGACTTATTTGGTAAGGAATTTATCCTGGAGACTGATCACCAACCTCTCACTTATCTTAACCCTTTACCTCATATATATGCAAAACAATGCATTTTCGACACATGTTTTCGTTTGAGAAATGTTGCTAAAAAAAAGTGAGCACTTTTTCGGCGCCGCCCCTCATCCAAAAGATACATCAGGGGGGGTGTTTGGAGGGTTTGAAGGGGAGGCGGTAGTCCCCCTCATCGCCAAGAAAATTTTGGACTTGTGAGAGGCAAAATATGACCCCAGGTCGATCCTACAGTAACGTGTAACCAACGCTGAAAAGCCTTTGACTCTATCTCAAACATTTGAGAAGTTGAAGCACTTTGAAATAAATTTTAATGAAAAAACTCAAGGCAGATAGTGATTTTTGGCAATTTTGAGATGTCCCCTCGTTACCATGGTAACAGGAAATTTAAGACTGAGCAGGTCGTTACAAAGGCAATGGGCCAGTCCACATTTGTGCCAAGTTTGATAAGTATTGAAGCATTTTTCATAGTTTCATAGCAGTTTGAACAAGTAACAGTAGGCTTTTCAATGAAAACGGCCATTTTGCACAATATGCTCATGAGTGAAAGTAAAGGGTTAACGAAAAAAATTTAAAATGTTACAAAACAACGATTTTTCACCAAAATTAGGTGAAAGGCCACATGATAACATGGAAAACTAGATTTTGGGTAATTCCAAGGGTTTTCATCATTTTTTGTTAAATTAAAAAATTAAAAATGTTACAAAACAACAATTTTTCACCAAAATTAGGTGAAAGGCCACATGTGAACATGTAAAAAACTAGATTATGGGTAATTCCAAGGTTTTCCATCATTATTTGTTAACCCTTTACCTCATATATACGCGAAAAAACGCACTTTCGACCTCCCCTCCCCCACCCTTCTAGGCCTCAAGTAGTGAAAAAATGTCCTATTGGGCCCAAACACATGTTTTCAGTTGAGAAATGTTGCTAAAAAGTGAGCACTTTTTCAGCGCCGCCCCCATCCAAAACATCGAAAGGGGATTGCCAGAAGAGGGATGTGCCCCCTGTTTGGGGGGATTGAAGGGGGCGGTAGTCCCCCTCATCGCCAAGAAAATTTTGGACTTATGAGAGGCTAAAAAAAACTCCAGGTCGTTCCTACGGTAACGTGTAACCAACGCTGAAAAGCCTTTGACTCTTTCTCAATCCCTCTATCTCGAGCAATTTGAAATAAATTTTGATGGAAAAAATCAAGGGGGATAGTGATTTTTGGCAATTTTGAGATGTCCCCTCGTTACCATGGTAACAGGAAATTTAAGACTGAGCATGTTGATACAAAGGCAATGGTCAAGTCAACATTTGTGCCAAGTTTGATTAGTACTGAAGCATTTTTCATAGTTTCATAGCAGTTAAAACTTGTAACAGTAGGCTTTTCAATGAAAAGCGCCATTTTTCACGATATGCTCATGAGGGAAAGGGTTGACAAGGCAAAATTAAATAACTCAAGAATAACGAGCTGGTGGTTGCTTTTGCAACCATATAGAATGAGAATCAGTGCGATTCCAGGTAGAGAAAATGTTGGAGCTGATTATTTAAGTAGAGTTTAATGTTTCAACCGGAGGTAGTGTAGTTAAGACATGTCTTGAGTATTTTTTAGCAGTAGTGTTGTGTAATATAAAAGGTGGTTATATATATGGTGATATGTGATATTTAAAGAAAATTTATCTATTTTCTTGTTTAAAGGGGGTGTATTGTCACAAAGTAAACCAATGCGTAAATGCTCAGAAGTGCTTTCAATACTTTGCTTTTTGTAGTATTCTATTTTCATGGCGAACCTCAGTTTTATACTAACTCCAATGTAAATTATTGTATCATTTTTTTTTGTAAAATTCAGTTATCGCGTGAAATTACTTATTTCAGTATTTTTATTTATTGCTTAAATTTCTTGGTATCATTCCAAGCATTTTGATATATTTTTCATGAAATTCGGTCCAGTAATAAGAAAGTTAGATTTTTGTGATAAAGTGCAAATTTATTTATGGTCTATAAATTTCATATAATGGGCCTGTATATTTTGTTATACATGCGTTCAGGATGCAAGAAAATCGTGAAAGTTATATCTCACGCTTTCCACTCACGGTAACTATGCATCTTCTTTAGGGGACACGCATTTAGATGTGTAAAGACGCACAAGGTCATTATGACAGACAGATATATTCTTGTTGTGTAAATTTTTAAGCTTGCGCAAGGTAAATTTTTCTTATTATTTTATTTAGTAAATTTGGTATAATCCGGTCACCGTTCCGCAGGGGACAATAAGTTTTTTTTCAAAATATTTTTCATTGTCAGAGCGACTTCAATGACCAATTACATCGGTATCAGGTAAACGCTTGAAAATATGTTTATGTCTTACTATGCGCGCGCATTATAACTGTCAAAACTTTAAAACACGTCTCCATTTCATATGAAATTTTAATAAACCATCTTAAAACATATTGATACCTGTTATAAACTTATATATTATAACGTTTTAAATGCTTTTGGCAACGTCTCCGGGGACGAAGACCGGATTATAAATATACAGCCGAGATATGAAATATTTGATCATTTCTTTTGCCTCGTAAAGGTAAATTTTCCCGGGCAGTGGGTTTTATTGGGGGGTTCTTTTATTTTATAAAATGGGGCTTGATTTGTTTTGGAAGAAGTATCTTAATGACTTTTTCAAACAAATATATGTTTTTATTGTAATTTTCATTACTTGAAAGTGCTGAGGGCAACGTCCCCGGGGACGATGACCGATTATAT